TGACCCTGGGGACAATTCCAAAGAAATAAATTATAATATATTTTTGAAATAGTAATAAACTTATAGGAAAGTTTTAAAAACATTTTTTTTTCGACCTTCAACCTGTTCTGTTCCTGGCAGTACGTAGCCAATTTAAAATAATGCCCTCCACCTTTTTAATAGTAATTTTCCTAGTCAATGTATTTTGCCTAAAAAAACTGGAAAAAATGTTTGGTAGTTTAACGAAACAATGTTTATATTGACTTTTTATTAATATTACTACTTTGTCGTTTGTTATTGATATATTTATTGTCCTAGTCAGCTTTCCTGTGACCGAGTTAAAAGTTGGGACGGTTTTGTTTGGTTTTTTGTTTTGATACTATTGTCTTAATTTTACTGGTGCACTTTGTTAATTTTTTTTTTGTTATTTTTTTTAGTTTTTCTCATTTTTAAGCGAAAAGTGCCTCATTTGGGGTTTTTCAAGGTACCTGTCATGGTGGCAAATAATATATTAGGTCATGCAGATGTTTAAGGTTACTTATCGAAAATTGCATATTGGCGTTTCCTCCCTTGGCTATCAACTTTTGTTTGTCTCGTGAAAAGCATCCAAATGCGAGGCGAAAAAATATATTTTCAAAATGATTGATCATTTTTTATAAGTTTTTTTAATATGTTAGTAAATTTGTGACCCATGGGTCAATTTGTTTTCTTTTTTTTTAAGGGCTTATTTAAAAAAATCCAACTGCCCATTTTTAGAAGTTAAATAACACACGTAAATAAGCAAAATTTGGAAAAACAGGTTTGCAGATTAATTTTTTGTTTTACTTAATTTTAAAAATGACCCATATCTATAAAATTAATTTTAGAAATTCGACTTATATGACCTTTTGGTTCTAGGAAATTTGTTCGAAAAAAATTTGTTCGAAGGAAATTTGTTCGAAGGAAATTTGTTCGAAAGAAATGTATTCGAAAGAAATTTGTTCGAATAAAAATTTGTTCGACGGAAATTTGTTCGAAAGAAAGCCAAAATATCGAGAGAAAAATATTTTATTAACCACTAGAAAAGTTCAAATATATAATAAATTAGTACGAAATGTTGTGAGCAACACCTCTTAAATATGCTAGGATATCGCCTTGAGGGTCATAATTATTTATAACATTTAGAAGTCTTGCAGCAACATCTTTATATTTTCAATTGCTCGACCAGCTATAGCCTGTTCAATGCGAAGTTCATTAATAGATTGTTCTCGTTTTAAGGCGGTAATGAACTTCCAAACTGTCGGATGCTCTGCTCCAATCTGTGCCTGGAAACCGCGATGCCATCCTTCCAGAGCATTATTTGTCTTCGGGAGATTTTCGGTTACCGACTGGAAACAATTCCACAACGCAATCGGAAATCGTGGTGCACGGCGTTGTTGTCGGCGAAGCGTACGTCCAATCCCATTGTCCTCGAAGTAATCAACAAGCTGCTTGGCTTCCATTGGCAATACTTCGTTGTCTTGAAGCATTTCAAAGGCTGTTTTCACTTGCTCAGTAGGGACAAATGCCAGTGTTGTTAACATCCTCATTTTTAATGCAAAATTTTCATCAGTGTCATATGTTTGCTTAAGTCCTGAAGATTGAATTTGCCTATATATACATTGACAAAAATGGAAAAAACACCCCCTTATAACTGTATTAGGAAATTCAATGGATAAAGCCGCAATCATCGCACTCTCAAAGTCAATCATTACAGATAATGGGTTAACATTTGGATTTAATTCCTTAATAGCACGTAAAAGTTCCCGGTACGTTGTTTCTGTTTTATTGGGCAACAATGCATATAATAATGGAATTGCAATGCAATCGCTAAATCCATGTACAGTGTACAGTTGCGCGAACTGTGTTGGCACTGTTTTAAATGTTCCGTCAGCATACCAGTGTAGGGAAGACTCGAGTAGTTCCAGATTTTTTCGGGTGCCAAAAATTAAAATCCTGTCGGGTGTCATTCCAGAATCGTACAACAGGAAGTTTTCACCACTGCTTGTCTGCTTGTATTCATCGGAAAAAGTAATATCGGCTCGGTGTCTTGGAGTAACAGGGCCAGCTTCTATCTTGTTCCTTACATTTCGTATCGTTCTCTTCATTGTTTCAACACTAGGAAGTTGAGTGGCAGCGGCTCGACTCAATTGAGTAGAAATATTAGAAATAATGTAATGAGGAGGATCACGGCCGGTTTCTGCTTCTTGCTTCATGGATCCATATACAATTCTGGCCTCAATACCTGCTGCATCTCTGAATGATTATGCAAGTTATTTTCTTTGATGACTGTTTCACCTGATGTAATTGCACGTCCTTTACAGGAATTTTTTTTAAAATGTTCACACTTCCAATAAATTCTGTCTTCACTAACTTTGTCGGAAGTGTAAATGAAACCGTTGAGAGACAAAAGATTTTTGCCTTTCGAACTTTTAATAAAATTTAGAGCCATGTTCAATCGAAGAAGTAGCAAGATAAATTAAGGCTGTCAATTGTTGTAAGGGAATTTATACTAATTTAGGTACATGCAGAGGTAAATAAGGATTACAATTATTTTAATATTTTTAATAATAAATTTCCTTGCAAATACAATACCTTCCGAAAAGGATTAAAATTATTTTAATATTTTGAATAATAAATTACCCTGCGAATAGAATATCTTTTCAAAAAGGATTACAATTGTTTTTATTTTATTAAATGAGCTTAAATTTCGAACAAATTTCCGTTCGAACAAATTTCTTTCGAACAAATTTCCATTCGATCAAATTTTTTCGAACAAATTTCCATTCGATCAAATTTTTTCGAACAAATTTCCTTCGAATAATTTTCTTTCGAACAAATTTATTTCGAACAAAATTCCGGATACCGACCTTTTTTGTGAAATACTAAATTTCCTAATGTATTTAATTTTTTTCTAAAATTTAAAATTATATTTTACTGCTAAATTAAATTTGTTCTCCTTGCGATAAAGGGACCAAAACGAACAAACAAACGCTTTGCGTATGACTATCTTTTGATTTTTTTCCTTATCCGTTAATTGGTATGCGATTTCAAATTTAAAAAAATCAGTGGTTTAGGTACCCCTCGCATTAATGCTAATTTGAAAACACAATTTTTATAATTTTTTATCAAATTATTAATGTTGATAAACCATATATATATGTACAGTTACGGAAAGAAGTAATGTCCATTTGAATGCTCCATTGTAATTGTTCGGAGGCATTCGGAAATGGTCAACATCTGCCTCTTAGGGATTTATTTAAAAATATGTCTATATTTAGAATTTACTACCTGCTCGTATTGAATTAATTATTTTGGGTATGTTACATATTTAACTGTATTTTTATTAAATCGTTAATTTTTTGATATATTTTTGTATAGTTTTATAAACATTTATTCTATGAAAAAACTTTTAATAAGAACTTTTTAGGCTATAAATTATATTATAAAGTTGTAGTTTTTTAAAACTTACTTTACATTTTTCAGAACTAGCAATGATTCAATACACTATTTTAGGAGTAAAAACAAATTTTATTATTTGTTGCACTTTTATGTGTTAAAATTAAAAACATACCCTCTAAAAATGAATTAGTCAAAAATTACTGATTTAATAGTTAATAGTGGCTGCTTTTTCACTTGTACCATGGTTAACCATGGAATATCATGGTATCCCAAAACTAAATAGCCAATTCTTATGTAAAATTATCCCCTGAATCCGAAAATACCGTCAAAAGTTAAAAAAGTAGAACAGTTTTTGAGATATAGTCAATTTTCTATTTAATATGGAATTGACTATATCTCATAAACTGCTTCACTTTCATAATTATTGACGGTATTTTCGGATTCAGGGGACAATTTCACATAAGAATTGGCTGTTAAATTTTGGGATACCATGGTATTCCATAGTTAACCACGGTACAAGTGAAAAAGCAGTCAATAATAATTAAAATTTTTATATTTGGTATATTTTTAAATTAAATATACTAGGATTTATCAAAAAATGTTTAATATAATTATAATATAAAAGTTAACATACCTATAAAACTATAACTTACATATAAAAACTATAAAACATATAAACATAAATAGCTATAATTTTAAAATTATAAAATATATATTATATAAATATATAAATATTATAAAACTATAAAATATATATTATATATTTTACATGATATTTAAGCTTTTTGTTTTCTCTATTTTAATTTAAATTTTTATGTAACATTTTATTAAAAATATCTCTCAAATGTTATTAAAAGTATTTTTTGTTTTACCTGGTATTGTAAAATATTTAAATGTTTAAGATAAAGTAAAATGTATTATTATAAAGTGTAATGCATTTATTTGTTTATATTATAAAATTTTTCAAGTTTACAATTTTGGGTAGCAAGCCATGGAAGCAATACCGCACATGTTCTTTCCACGGTTCATACGGATGTATCCCTTTTCTCCCCAGGATGGTCCCCAAGAGTTCTTGACGATCCAGAAGTCCTTTCCGTTTTCGCTTCCATAACCGACAGCCAAAACACCATGGTTTAAGTAGGCTTTGTCACATGTACGGTCAGTGAACAATCCAGATTCGTAAAACTGGAATTCGTCGGAGGCATCGATGGCAACGGAAACTGGACCGACGGTTCCTACAGCGTTCCTAAGATCTTCTTCGCTATCTTCTTTGATTTCTACAATTCCAGATACTTTGGTGATGACTCTTTTAGGGTTCCATAGGCAAAGACTGTCTGTTTCTTTGTATGGGTAGAGGGATTCGCTGTTGATACCATAGTCCTGAATATATTCAAAACCGGCAGTCATCAAACCACCATTGCAACCTTCGTTTCCGTAGGAAGCGGAGCAGTCGATCAATTGTTGTTCACTTAGGGAGATCAATTCGCCTTTTTGGATTTGAAGCTGTCCTTCCAAACTGCCAGTCTATAAATACAATTTTGTTTGTATTATTTCTGTATACTAACATTGTATGGAATAAAATAAATAAAGATAACACTTACAGTACTGAAAGCCCAGCATGATCCGCAACTTCCTTGGTCCTTAACGGGAGTTACGGACCCAGTGGATCTCCAATCGATGGAATCAGGGGCGGCTTGCACAGCCTGGAATTTTTCGGTGGTTTTTGGCCTTTCAGCGGAACCACTGAGTTTCAAAAAAGCACCAAATTCTTCCCTGGTCCAGTCAGCGAATTGATTGACTCCCTTTTTGAAAGAAGTCAAGCCTTGTTCGTATTCGACATTGTGTTTTTCGATTATGTCCAAGTTGTTGAGGAAAATTTGGTGACGAAGACGTTCTTCGATGAGGGATTTGTAGGATTTTTTGTGGTTGGACTGCAATTCAATATAGTTAATATAAGTTAACTACGTTATTAAAAAACTTACTTTAAAATCCTCCCACAGGGCTTTGTTGGCTGAGACGGCTACAGCCAAACAGGCAATCAAAATAAAAACTTTCATAATTCTGAAAATATATATATAACTTTATTATATTTAGCTTTATTAATATATTATGGTTTACTTACCTGCTCGGTAAAACAATATTTTGATTTAAAATTATTTTCCTATTTATATGAATTTTGTCAAATAATCACGTAGAACACTTAAGATAACTACGTAATTAATTATAGTTCTTTTGTTTAGCCTAAATTAATCAATTAATTATATCTTAAACAAATAATTATAAACATAAAATATGGCCTGATCTGAAGCCCATTTTGTGTTGTTTTAAAATAAATACAGAATTGTTATTGTTAGGTTTTCGAGAAATTTACAAAAACACTAAACGCATTTTTTTCAATATTTTAGGTATTTTTTAAGCACAAAACTCGTGGTTATCTTATTGGTTCAAAGTTGTATTTTTTATGAAATGGATGTTTTTTGGCTGTTAACTTATAAACGGTTGAGAAAAAAATAAATAAATTTTTTGTGGAAAATTTAGTATTCTGCAAAAAAGTCTAAAATTTATATTTTAATATATACACTTAAGACCTTACCCTCTATATATAATTTGTATTTTTTAACCGATTTTATAAACTTTGAATGGATATCTGACAATCCCAGTAGCACAAAATATTGGTCCTATAGGGGGCGCGTCTATGCCCAATATTTTATCTGGGGCCAATATTGGATTTATTTAGCCGATATTAGCCCTATATTAGCATAAAATGATAATTTAATATATCTTGCCAATGTTTATCCAAGAGCGGTCCTATATTGGCATATTATTTTAGGCAAATATATCATTAACTATAGTCAACGATGCTTTCCTATTTCTAAAAGTGATATGTAACGACACACGTTTGTTTCCAGAATTCCAGAATATGTGTAATATGTGTAAATGGGTGAAAATAATAAAGGCCATTCTTGCATTTTATCGTAAGAATAACGATTTCTTAGTAATAAAATTCATTATTACGTTAATAAAGCTCAAGCTGATCATTTTAGCACACGATACAAACGATTTTAGCATTTTATCGTTATTAAGAATAACATAGACGGTACACGACTTGTCTTATTGGTGAACTTTTTCAAAGAATTTGGAGGGTACATTTTATATCAAGTATGGGTGGGCATTATTAACCGCCCCCCCCCCGCTTCTACGCCCCTAAGAACCTACTATAAACATTTCCTGAAAACAAACGTTTATCAACACGATCGTGACATATCACTTTTAGAAATCCTACTACCTAGTAAATACTAGGTGGCTATCTTTTTTTTTCTTTCAATTTCTACCTCAACTTTCTTAGAATATAATGTAAAACAACTTAGGGCCAATGCGGATTTCCAATATCGGTTATAAAATGTCAAACAACTTCGGGCCAATGTTGGGTTTTAATATTGAACCATGCTAGAAAAAATCTGACGAAAGATATATTGGCCCAATATTATTACGAATATTGGGCCAATATCTTTGTGCTACTGGTAAAAGGCTTTAACCCGGCGTTACATACGTGGGGTTTGACAAACCCCTGCTTTTAAATATCACTTTGAAAATAAAGCAAACGTGAACATATGCGCATGTCCGTCCGAATAGCTTCCTAAATATGTCCCCACCATCGAATTCGGGCTTTACCGTAGTTCTCTGCAGACATTGAGTCAAGCTACACGCAACTGAAATGCTCTGGGGTGTGTTAAACCCCATCTATGTACTGCCGTTTGCGATTTTGACATAATAAGCAAGTTGTTATTTTGGAACTATTTCGATCAGAAAAATTAATTGTTGGCATTTTTTAAGCTGAAATAACATGTCGTACGAAGAGGAACAGAAAAAGCTTCAAGCTCTATGGGCTGAAGTTAATAATGATGACGATACAATCAATTCAGGAAGCGAAAACGACATTGATCATATCTCTGAAAGCGAGCACAACACCGACTCAGAGCAGGATATTACTATAGAAGATGAAGTTGATGATATAGCTTTGGAAGGAGAAACATCAGAAAGCGAAATTCAGAATGAGACGGAAGATAAAAAGATTGACGGGCCTACAAGAAGAAGAGAAATATATATCGGAAAAGATGGATCAAAATGGAACAAGCTTGCTTCAAATCAACGTGTTCGGACAAGAGCAGACAATATTATCACTCATTTGCCCGGTGTAAAGCAATATGCAAAGAATGCTAAAAGTGCTTTAAATTGTTGGCAGCTATTTTTTGATCACCAAATGATCGAAGACATGGTGCGCTGGACCAATTGCAAAATTCAGCAAAAAGCCATTGCATATAAAAATAAATGCATAGTGAAAACAACTACAGTTCCTGAAATTAAAGCATTTATCGGGCTTCTTTATTTAGCAGGAATGTTCCATTCTAATCGTCAAAATTTGAGAGACTTGTGGCAAACGGACGGGACTGGAGTCGATATATTTCGTAATACGATGTCTATGAATCGTTTTCAATTTTTAATGGTATGTCTTCGATTCGATAACACCGAAAATCGAAAAGACAGATTAATTGTCGACAAATTGGCTGCTGTACGTGGAATACTAGAAAGATTTATTGAAAATTGTAAGCAGTCCTACACTCCTTCGCAATATTTGACGATAGATGAAAAGTTGGAGTCCTTTCGTGGAAGATGTGCTTTCAAACAATATATTCCCAACAAGCCTGCAAAGTATGGGATCAAAGTGCAAGCCTTAGTTGATGCCCGTTCCTATTACGTTTTGAATTTTGAAGTATATGCAGGAAAACAACCAGAAGGGCCATACAGTCTCAGTAACTCTCCAAGAGATATTGTGGAGAGGCTCATACAACCCATTTCTGGTTCCAACCGTAATGTAACTTTTGATAATTGGTACACTAGTTACGAATTGATGATGAAATTACTAAAAGAGCATAAACTTACGTCAGTAGGCACTCTAAAAAAAAACAAACGATGCATTCCGACACAATTCGTGACAGTCAAGAACAGAGAACCAAAGACATCTTTATTTGGCTTTCAAAAAGACATAACACTTTTATCCTATGTGCCAAAAAAGAATAAAAATGTCCTGATGATGTCCACCATGCATCATGATGGAGTAATTGATGAAGCAACTGGGGAGAAGAATTTACCCGAAATAATAAGCTTCTACAACTTTACTAAAAGTGGAGTAGATGTAGTGGATGAACTTTCTGCATCATACAACGTTTCAAGAAATTCACGAAGATGGCCACTCACGATCGTATTTTCTCTCTTGAATACAGCCGCTATAAATGCTCTGGTAATATACAGAGAAAACAATGAGGATTTTAAACTTGCCAGAAGATTGTTTATCAAAATGTTGGGCTTTGAACTAATCCAGGATTATATCACTGAAAGGAAGAATAATCCGAGGATACCAAGAAATATTCGCCAAAAAATTAAATATTTTGGGCAAGAAAATTCTTTAGAGCCATCTGTCAAAATCCAGAAGGTTGCAGGAAGGTGTTCTATATGTCCAAGAAGCCGAGATCGCAAGACTAAATATTCATGTACACACTGCAAATCATTAGTGTGCCTGGAACATGCTGTGATGAGTTGCCAAAATTGCATGAATTCAGACAGCGAGTAATTTTTTTCATATTTTCGTAAAAGCTGCAGATTTTTTTCTTGTGTTCCCTCATAATTAGTTTTTTGATTGCGATTGTATTTTTTGCCATACGATGTTTATTTTACTTAGAATGATTTTTTGATTAGATGTGTTTTTTTCGATTTTAAAAAATAAAAAAAAAATTGTTTATCTCTAGTTTTTTTTCAAATAAAGTTATTTTTTGTTCACTTTATGTTTAAATGGTTCTTAGATGATTAAGTGAGACAATGAAATAACACTAATTAAAAAAAAAAGAAAAACAAAAAATTTACGATTTAAAAAAAAATGGGGTTTGTTACACCCCACATATGTACTGGTGGAAAAAAATTTCATGTATGTAACCAAGGGTTAAACGCATATGTCACTTGTTTTAACGAATAAACCAATGAACAACTATGGTATCTTGTTGTGGTAGAAATTTCTACTAGTACTAGGGATTTTTTTTAAAGCAAAAGTAAATACAAATTTTAATTCGGGACACTTAAAACCCACTATATCAGTTTATATTGCTCTTAAATACATGGGAATACTGAGAAAGTTAATATTAATGATTTTTTTTATTGCAAAAGTAACTACGGATTCTTATTCTGGACCACTTCCAACCCTATTACAGTAATCCCTATCGCCCAACCCAGTTGGACATTTTTTTATTTTTTTTAAACAAAAAAGTTACTTGAATAAATATATTTAATGGATATTTTAATAATACCAAATGCTTCAAAAGCCACAACTAAATTTACCACAATCCTAGCTGGAACACCCTGTACTTAAGAGCGATACAAGTTTGTTTAGTGGAGGTTTTAAGTGGTCCCGAATAAAAAACCGTGGTTACTTTAAACTAAAAAAATCTTATGGTACTTTTCGAAATTTCGACTCCAAACATAGACCACAGTTGGTCATCAAAACAAATGCGTTTAAAGCCTTTATCAAAGATCTATTGAACAAAAAAAAAATAATGAAAATCGGTGGAAAAATTCAAACTTTACGAGGGTGGTATGTCAGTCATCAAAATTTTAAATTTTACCTAAAATTATTTTGATTCAATCTTTGATTAATTTACAAATTTTAATTGTTTTTGACACCTTACAAATAAAATGAGTATAAAAATCAATATTTTTCTAAATAATATTTAATTATAAGGCATTAATCTTGACTTTAATTTCGACTTATATGACCTTTTTGTGAAAAACCAAATTTCCAACAAAAAATGTATTTAGCTATTTTTTCAAGTCAATAAGGAAAAACCCTTATCAATATTGCAATAATGCATTGGTATGCAATTTTTAATTTAAAAAATCAGTGGTTTACCTTTATTATTTATAATCAAAATATTCATGATGATAAACTATATAAATGATATTTAAGCTTTTTGTTTTTTCTATTTTAATTTAACATTTTTTAAGAAATTTAAGAACAACTTAATAATATCTCTAAAATATTATTAAAAGTATTTTTTGTTTTAAGTACCTGGTATTGTGATTTATTTAAATGTTTAAGATAAAGTAAAATGTATTATTATAAAGTGTAATGTATTTATTTATTTGTTTATATTAATTTTTTTTATAAATTTACAATTTTGGGTAGCAAGCCATGGAGGCAATACCACACATGTTCTTTCCACGGTTCATACGAATGTATCCCCTTTCTCCCCAGGATGGTCCCCAAGAGTTCTTGACGATCCAGAAGTCCTTTCCGTTTTCGCTTCCATAACCGACAGCCAAAACACCATGGTTTAAGTAGGCTTTGTCACAGGTACGGTCAGTGAACAATCCAGATTCGTAAAATTGGAATTCATCGGAGGCATCGATAGCAACGGAAACTGGACCGACGGTTCCTACAGCGTTCTTAAGATCTTCTTCGCTATCTTCTTTAATTTCTACATATCCAGATACTTTGGTGATGACTTCACTTTGCTTGAATCTGCAACGCCTGTCTGCTTCTTCGTATGGGTAGGCAGCTTCGCTGTTGATACCATAGTCCTTAATATAATCAAAACCGGCAGTCATCAAACCTCCATTGCAACCTTCGTTTCCGTAGGTACGAGTGGCGCAGTCCACCAAGTTTTGTTCACTTAGGGAGATCAATTTTCCTTGTTGGATTTTGAGTTGCCCTTCCAAACTGCCAGTCTATGAAAACAATTTTGTTTGTATTAATTCTGTATACTTACATTGTATAAAATAAAAATGAATAAAAAGAACACTTACAGTACTGAAAGCCCAGCATGATCCGCAACTTCCTTGGTCCTTAACGGGAGTTACGGACCCAGTGGATCTCCAATCGATGGAATCAGGGGCAGCTTGCACAGCCTGGAATTTTTCGGTGGTTTTTGGCCTTTCAGCGGAACCACTGAGTTTCAAAAAAGCACCAAATTCTTCCCTGGTCCAGTCAGCGAATTGATTGATTCCCTTTTTGAAAGAAGTCAAGCCTTGTTCGTATTCCACATTGTGTTTTTCGATTAGGTCCAAGTTGTTGAGGAAAATTTGGTGACGAAGACGTTCTTCGATGAGGGATTTGTAGGATTTTTTGTGGTTGGACTGCAATTCAATATAGTTAATATAAGTTAACTACGTTATTAAAAAAACTTACTTTAAAATCCTCCCACAGGGCTTTGTTGGCTGAGACGGCCACAGCCAAACAGGCAATCAAAATAAAAACTTTCATAATTCTGAAAATATAGGAACTTTATTATATTTAGCCTTATTAATATATTATGGTTTACTTACCTGCTCGGTAAAACAATATTTTGATTTAAAATTATTTTCCTATTTATATGAATTTTGTCAAATAATCACGTAGAACACTTAAGATAACTACGTCATTAATTATAGTTCTTTTGTTTAGCCTAAATTAATCAATTAATTATATCTTAAACAAATAATTATAAACATAAAATATGGCCTGATCTGAAGCCCATTTTGTGTTGTTTTAAAATAAATACAGAATTGTTATTGTTAGGTTTTCGAGAAATTTACAAAAACACTAAACGCATTTTTTTCAATATTTTAGGTATTTTTTAAGCACAAAACTCGTGGTTATCTTATTGGTTCAAAGTTGTATTTTTTATGAAATGGATGTTTTTTGGCTGTTAACTTATAAACGGTTGAGAAAAAAATAAATAAATTTTTTGTGGAAAATTTAGTATTCTGCAAAAAAGTCTAAAATTTATATTTTAAGATATACACTTAAGACCTTACCCCCTATATATAATTTGTATTTTTTAACCGATTTTGGTAAAATCTCTGAATCTCAGTAGCACAAAATATTGGTCCTATAGGGGGCGCGTCTATGCCCAATATTTTATCTGGGGCCAATATTGGATTTATTTGGCCGATGTTAGCCCTATATTGGCATAAAATGATAATTTAATATATCTTGCCAATGTTTATCCAATTGTGGTCCTATATTGGCATATTATTTTAGGCCAATATATCATTAACTATAGTCAACGATGCTTTCGCATTTCTAAAAGTGATATGTAACGACACAAGTTTGTTTCCAGGATATGTGTATACTAGTGGCACAGGAACGGTTTTAAGTTGAGGGGTGGAGCATCGACTACCATCCTTATTGTTTAGCACCAAATGGATGAAAATAATAAGGCCATTCTTGCATTTTACCGTAAGAATAACAAGCGTAATATGCGATTTCTTGTCTTATTAGCAATAAAATTCATTATTACATTAATAAAGCTCAAGCTGATCATTTTAGCACACGATACAAACGATTTTAGCATTTAATCGTAATTAAGAATAACACAGACGGTACACGACTTATGTTATTGGTATATTTTTTTAAATAATTTGGAGGGTACATTTTATATCCCCCCTTCCCCTTATCATTTGGGTGGGCATTGTCACCCGCCCCCCTGCTTCTACGCCTCTAAGCATCATAAACATTTCCTGAAAACAAACGTTTGTCGACACGATCGTGACATAATATCACTTTTAGAAATCCTACTACCTAGTAGGTAGGTACTAGGTGGCTATCTTTTTTTTCTTTCAATTTCTCCCTTAACTTTTCTAGAATATAATGTAAAACAACTTCGGGCCAATGCTGATTTCCAATATAGTTTAAAGGCACCAGTAATTGTCACTGCAGCAGTAGTTGCCATTTATTATTTAGAAATTCAAAAACAAAACCATATGCAATATCTGTGCATATGGCGCACTCCCTATGCGTAAGAAAGTGTATCTAGTGTATTATGAATTAAGAACAACTGTCACCAGGTGGCGCATTTTTCGACAGAAAAAAAAATATTCAGGCAACTTGTTGAATCAGCTGTTTATAAAAGATTTCTTGTGACTTTGGTTAAAAAGATTAGTTTTTCTTGATATTGGCATATGTTGTAAATCAATTTGAGTTTTGTTTGTGCAGGCATATATGCTAAGTAGTTTGAATGAAACGCATATAAATTGTTCGTTAAATTACCAGTAGTGGCAATTACTGAAGCATTTTTTTTTTAACCCAATATTTGCCATTTGTGGTAATTACCTACTGAAAAATTTTGGATTATCGTATTTGACCTTTAAAGCTCTAAAATAACCTATAATATTTAGTTTATCCTTGACATTAATAAGAACATTATATTTAAAGAAAAATTTCACCTCTTTTTGGATGTGTCAATTACTGGTTCACTTTAGTGGCAATTATTGATCCAGGTATAAAATCCAAATTGATCAACATGGAACCAAAAAATAATCCTTTTTTTTTGCTATTCCCGAGAAAGCAAAGAATCTGCATTGGCTGCTTGCCAAGGTGGTATGCTATTTTCCAATTTTATTGTTTTATTTAAAAATATAAATTAGTGGCAATTACTGGCCAGGTACACTGGCAACTACTGGTTTTTTTAAAAATGGTCATGGTAATTACTAGTCCTCTGTACCTCAATAAAAATATATATATTGCACTTAGTGTTGTCTTTAATTTTTAGTGTTTGGTAATATAGTGACCTTGTTTAAGTATCCATTAACCACATGTTTTTTTAATAAGACGAAATCTAAATTTCTTCTGGTACCTTTTTACCTATTTTATGTAAACACTAGCTTATGATGGCAATTACTGGTGTCATTACCCCATAATGTCAAAAAACTGTTGGGTTTCAATATTGGACCATGCTAGAAAAATTCTGACGAAAGATATATTGGCCCAATATAATTAGGAATATTGGGCCAATATCTTTGTGCTACTGGTAAAAGGCTTTAAACTCATATATCACTTGTTTGAACGAATAAACCAATGAACAACTATGGTCTCTTGTTGTGGTAGAAATTTCTAAAAGTACTTGGGATTTTTTTAAGATAAGTAACCACAAATTTTAATTCGGGGCCACTTGTTCTTAAGAGCGATACAAGTTTGATTAGTGAGGGGTTTTAAGTGGTCCCGAATAAAAAACCGTGGTTACTTTAAACTAAAAAAATCTAATGGTACTTTTCGAAATTTCGACTCCAAACATAGACCACAGTTGGTCATGAGTTTGGTCGTCAAAACAAGTGACATGCGTTTTAAGCCTTTATCAAAGATCTATTGAACAAAAAAAAATAATGAAAATCAATGGAAAAATTCAAAATTTTAAATTTTACCTAAAATTATTTTGATTCAATCTTTGATCAATTTTCAAATTTTAATTGTTTTTGACACCTTACAAATAAAATGGGTATAAAAAACAATATTATTGTATTATAAGGCATTCATCTTTACTTTAATTTCGACTTATATGACCTTTTTGTGAAAAAACAAATTTCCAACAAAAATTGTATTTAATTATTTTTTCAAGTCAATAAGGAAAAACCCTTATCAATATTGCAATAATGCATTGGTATGCAATCAGTGGTTTACCTTTTAATCAAAATATTCATGATGATAAACTATATAAATGATATTTAAGCTTTTTGTTTTTTCTATTTTAATTTAAATTGTTGTGTAACATTTTTTAAGATATTTAAGAACAACTTAATAATATCTCTAAAATGTTTGTTTTTGTTTTAAGTACCTGGTATTGTAATTTATTTAAATGTTTAAGATAAAGTAAAATGTATCTAGTGTAATGTATTTATTTATTTGTTTATATTAAATTTTTTTATAAATTTACAATTTTGGGTAGCAAGCCATGGAGGCAACACCACACATGTTCTTTCCACGGTTCATACGGATGTATCCCTTTTCTCCCCAGGATGGTCCCCAAGAGTTCTTGACGATCCAGAAGTCCTTTCCGTCTTCGCTTCCATAACCGACAGCCAAAACACCATGGTTTAAGTAGTTTTTATTACATGTACGGTCAGTGAACAATCCAAATTCGTAAAATTGGAATTCATCGGAGGCATCGATGGCAACGGAAACTGGACCGACGGTTCCTACAGCGTTCTTAAGATCTTCTTCGCTATCTTCTTTGATTTCTACAATTCCAGATACTTTAGTGATGACTCTTTTAGGGTTCCATAGGCAAAGACTGTCTGTTTCTTTGTATGGGTAGTCATATTCGCTGTTGATACCATAATCCTGAATATATTCAAAACCGGCAGTCATCAAACCACCATTGCAACCTTCGTTTCCGTAGGAACCGGAGCAGTCGATCAAATTTTGTTCACTTAGGGAGATCAATTCGCCTTTTTGGATTTGGAGTTGTCCTTCCAAACTGCCAGTCTATGAAAACAATTTTGTTTGTATTATTTCTGTATACTAACATTGTATAGAACAAAAATGAATAAAGAGAACACTTACAGTACTGAAAGCCCAGCATGATCCGCAACTTCCTTGGTCCTTAACGGGAGTTACAGACCCAGAGGATCTCCAATCGATGGAATCAGGGGCAGCTTGCACAGCCTGGAATTTTTCGGTGGTTTTTGGCCTTTCAGCGGAACCACTGAGTTTCAAAAAAGCACCAAATTCTTCCCTGGTCCAGTCAGCGAACTGATTGATTCCCTTTTTGAAAGAAGTCAAGCCTTGTTCGTATTCGACATTGTGTTTTTCGATTAGGTCCAAGTTGTTGAGGAAAATTTGGTGACGAAGACGTTCTTCGATGAGGGATTTGTAGGATTTTTTGTGGTTGGACTGCAATTCAATTTAGTTAATATAAGTTAACAGCGTTATTAAAAAAATTTACTTTAAAATCCTCCCACAGGGCTTTGTTGGCTGAGACGGCCACAGCCAAACAGGCAATCAAAATAAAAACTTTCATAATTCTGAAAATATAGGAATTTTATTATATTTGGCCTTATTAATATATTATGGTTTACTTACCTGCTCGGTAAAACAATATTTTGATTTAAAATTGTTTTCCTATTTATATGAATTTTGTCAAATAATCACGTAGAACACTTAAGATAACTACGTCATTAATTATAATTCTTTTGTTTAGCCTAAATTAATCAATTAATTATATCTTAAACAAATAATCATAAACATAAAATATGGCCTGGTCTTAGATCCCATTTTTTGTTATTTTAAAATAAATACAGAATTTCTTCTAATGTGAGGTTTTATTACATCACAAGGTATTTTTTCACCACAAAACTTTCCAAATGTCGCAAAAGTCTACGTTGACAGCGTTGCCGCTTTCCTAAGTGCGCTAACGCACAAACGCTTACGGCACGTGCTACACCCCTTTCTACACCGCACTTTTCGCTCTCGATTGATAAAGTTTCATGCTGAATAAATGTCTTCTTGGCACCTCTTGGCCCGGGTTGTTTGTTGTGGAAATTGTGAGGAATTTGATAGAATTTTAATTTTAATTTATTTATAAACATTACATTACATTACATTACAGTAGTAACATTGGAAACAGAAAAAATACAAAACTTATAATAATAATAATAATAATAAAAAATAATAAAGTAGAAATCAGTTTAATGTTCTCCATATATTTAATTTCCAGTAGATATAATTCATATTATGGAGTTTAAAAGAGGATAAATGTACTAAAAATTTAAATATACGAAATAGTGCAATATCTTTCTTTATAAAAGTTTTTTAGTCCTGTACACAGAGAAAAAGCTTTTATATTGTGAATGGGTTAACCATTGAGCCAATGATGTACTGTATTTGCAATACCTGAATTACAGCTATGATCAAATAAATGATTGTCTTACATTTATTTGTGCAAACCTGCTTAAAATTAGTAAAATATAAGAAGTCATTGAATTATATGGTGATTCTATTAAATCCGTATTAAAAGTTAGTTAAAACATAAGAATTATTGAATTAAATTGTTATTTAATTGAACTTCAATTATTGAAGCCACAATGAATCTTAATGAAAACCCATCATTGGCTTAAATAAAGTTATGGATTCTAATAAATGGCTACATTAAATGCAATCAAAGCCCTATTTCCTTTAAATATGTATATTCTTGTGCAAATATTAGTTGTATAATACATTAATATGAAATGAATTCTGGAAACTGCTTTTGGTAGTCTTGTGTACACAGGTTTTTCGATCCATAAAATGAAATTGTTCTGTTTTCTGTAGGAACTATTAGGAATTCACTAGAAGTGTTGGTGATATTAGGCTCTAAGAAAGTTGCTGACCCATCACTAGCAACAGTTACTGTACTGGATGTGTAGGATCTGTCTGCCATGGCACATGGTTATTCTAAAACGAAATATAAACTTCATCTTATGTAAACTGCTCGTCATAAAAATCGACGCACCTAGTTTTTTGGAAAATATTTAAAAGCTCGTTATTGAAAAATTACTGAATCGATTTTGAAAATCTTTGTAAATTCTGAATAGCTTATTCTTTGACTCTAATGTCTAATTTTGGGAATACGATATTTTGCACATAGAATTATACTACAGGGTGTTAAACGAAGAGATGTATTTTTTCCGAAATTTCAAGTTATTCCCATTCATTAAGTTTGATAGTCTTAATACCCCTCCCTAATAATAGTAAGGTAATCCCTCGGCTTACTACGATTATATGCCAATTTATCGAAAATTGTCGTTATTTCCCAGTTTAGTCCAAAAAATAAGCAATGGTGGATTCTTTGACTTACGTACGAGAATACGATATTGTGCACCTACCATTATACTACAGGGTGTTAAAAAAAGAACCAAAATTCCAAATCCCCATTCACAGGGCAGTTGAGTTTGATAGTCCTAATACCCCTAATAACAGTTAGGTTATCCCTCGGGACGTTTTCGAGATTTTGTGGTTATCTTGGCTTACTACGATTATATAACAATTTTTTAAAAATTTTCGTTAGTTGTCCAAAAAATGAGCAAGAGTGGATTCTTTGACTTACGTCTAATTTTGGGAATACGATATTGTGCAAATAGCATTATACTAAAGGGTGTTAAAAAAAGAGATGTTTTTTCCAAAATTCCAAATCACCATTCACAGGGCAGTTGAGCTTGATAGTCATAATACCCCTTCCTAATAACAGTTAGGTAATCCCTCGGGACGTTTTCGAGATTTTGTGGATATCTTGGCTAACTACGATTATATTCCAATTTTTCGAAAAATGTCGTTATTCCCCAGTTGTCCAAAAAATGAGCAATAGTGGATTCTTTGACTTACGTCTAATTTTGGGAATACGATATTGTGCACATAGCATTATACTACAGGGTGTTAAAAAAAAGAGATGTTTTTTCCAAAATTCCAAATCACCATTGACAGGGCAGTTGAGCTTGATAGTCATAATACCCCTTCCTAATAACAGGTAATCCCTCGGGACATTTTCGAGATTTTGTGGATATCTTGGATAACTACGATTATATGGCAGTTTTTCGAAAATTCAGGTTATTCTTCACTTAAGTCCCAAAAATGAGCAAACTACGAAAGGTATCAACACAGCGTTTTAAGTTAGGTCACGTGCTTCAAGTTTATGTACGTTGCGTGATTCATTAAAAGTGAAATGTTTTACACAAAACCATTTTTTTTCGGTTAAATTCAAAATAAAAACGCAAACCAAACAAAATCATTCTCGTAAACTTATGCAGGCTATATTCATGCAATTTTCTACAAACGGTTGACTATGAAAGTTTAAAAAATATGGCGCATATCTGGTTTTGAGTTTCCTTCCTTCAATTATTCTTGTCATTTTTGTCGTCGAATATGAAAATATTTTTCAAACAGTAAAACACATTTAAAAAAATTAATGACGGATATAAGATTGCATACCACGCAAGACGAAGAGCTGCCTGCCCTCTTTTTCTGCTAGAAGAAGATGGGCACAAGAACATGCAAATTGGGGAAACGATGTGTTGATAACTAATCGATACCTTTCGTAGTTTTCTCATTTTGGGAATTAAGTGGAGAATAACGACAATTTTCGAAAAATTGCTAAATAATCATAGTTAGCCAAGATATCCACAAAATCTCGAAAACGTCCCGAGGGATTACCTAACTGTTATAAGGAAGGGGTATTAGGACTATCAAGCTCAACTGCCCTGTGAATGGGGATTTGGAATTTTGGAAAAAACATCTCTTTTTCTAACACCCTGTAGTATAATGCTATGTGCACAATATCGTATTCTCAAAATTAGACGTAAGTCAAAGAATCCACTATTGCTCATTTTTTGGACTAAAATAACGACAATTTTCGATAAATTGGCATATAATCGTAGTAAGCCGCGATATTCACAAAATCTCGAAAATGTTCCGAGGGATTACCTTACTTATATTAGGGAGGGGTATTACGACCATCAAGCTCAACTGCCTCATGAATGGGAATAACTTGAAATTTCGGAAAAAATACATCTCTTTGTTTAACACCCTGTAGCATAATGCTATGTGCAAAATATTGTATTCCCAAAATTAGACATAAGAGTCAAAGAATCAGCTATTCAGAATATCCAAAGATTTTCAAAATCGATTCAGTAATTTTTCAATAACGAGCTTTCAAAAATTTTCCAAAAAACTAGGTGCGTCGATTTTTATGACGAGCAGTTTATTTAGAGGCGAATCCTAAAGATTGCTGAAAGCCCCAAAGCAATATATATATACTTTCAGGACGCCCTGCAAGGATATCATGTTGGTACTGAAAGACCATGAGAAGTTTTTTTATAAATAAATAAAAACTTCGTCCCTTTAAGCAAAACAGCTATTTTAAGGCATGACACCGAATATCAAAGATAAACTGAGTCCATGGTATATACCTATATGAGTATACATTTACCTTTTTGTTATTAATTAGATATAATTGAGTAATTAAATTACTGGATAATGCATGGCAGACATACAATTAAAAAACATGTACAACTTACCTTGAAAATTCGGGATTAGGAAGTACAATCCCCAAAAAATTAGCAAATATAACAAACAACCAAACACTACCCCATCCAGAGATAACCCATACACTTAACATCAATCGGCGTCACCAGAAATACCGATTAATCAGTTGATCACATTTAACTATACGCACGAAAGCGATTGCAGGTTGCCAATGCGTGGTGTAGCAGGGGATGCCCTGGCGCGTTTGTATGAAATTTAGCAATCATTAAATTGAATATAGGCCGCATTGAAAAAATGGGAATGATAATTGGGCAAATAACAAGTATTTTTCAAGACAGTGAAAACATTGGTATTCACTGTAAGACAGTAATAATTTACTTTACCTTAGTTTCCATTGGAATAAAAATCATAAACATTAAAAGAAACAAAGACTATTTTTATTTCATTTGTTTTTAATTTTTGGTTGAAGCATTATAACTTTTTATATAAATCAATGTTATATTTAATTAAATATTGTTAATTTTACCTTAATAATAGTTTATTAAAATTTTAACTTGATAATAGTTTGTTATGGGCTGAATATAATATTTGTAATAACATCAATCCCTTACCCTCAATTGCTCCAAACATATTTGATTGAATAAACTTTAACTTTTATTGGATAAATAAAAGAACAATCAATTATAACATTGTTATTGACTATATCAAAGCGTTTTTTCTGTGTAAAAATAATATTTATTATTTATTTGTTTTTATCTACTCCTACATTGACGAGCTGTCACTTTATGGCGTTTTATTGACGGGCTGAAGTTAACAACAGTGGCTTTTCGACATTTTACGTCACGGGCTGAAGTTAGCTTTATTATAAATTGGGAAAAAGTGAGGTTAAATTCGGGTGACAGTTGACAGATGTCAAAATTTTAACAAATAAAATTGGCTTTAAATTTTGTTTTGTATTCGTCGTAGATAAAGTATAGTATGCAACTCGTTTATAAACTTCTCTAG